GTAGGATTTTCTTTCTCCTGAATGAGGTGGGGTCTCTGGGCAGGCTGTGTTCTCAGCATTTGTGTGGACGGTAAATAAACCAACAGCTCAATTAAATTGTGAAAACTCCGTAGCGCCCTCTCTCCCTTTTCAGTTCCTTTTGGTTATTTTCTTTGCAGCAGTCCCCACCCATTTGAAATAAAGCTCACGTTGTAAATCAAGCGCACCTTTGAAATAGAGCACTGAAGCTCCATTATTATTCCATTAAAGCCAAGGGGACCTCCAAAATAGGCTTTTTGTTTGAGGAGCGGTAGGAAACTAAATGGGGTAGACACAAAAACGGAGGGACATAATGTGACAGAGCAGAGTGACTCTGGCAGCCAGCTCTCTCTCTCTCTCTGTCTCTGTCTCTCTCTCTCTGCTGACTACAGAGGAATGTAACACACGCACACATCCACGTACACACAGGAAACGGAGTATAAACACTCGAGTGTGTGCGAGTGTGGGTGGGTCGATGGTCAGTCCTGGTTATTTATGTTTGAGAACGTTCAGAAGGAATGAACAGTGACCAAAGGAGGCAAATGAGCAGTCAGGTACAAGCTTCAGTGTATTTACACCTCTTTGTTTACTGTAATGGACAGTCACACACAAACACGCACATACACTATACGTACATAGGGCGTAGAAAGTGTGTGGTATTTCCTGCCTTTGAGAGCTGACCAGGCCCACTGTTTCTGCTTTTAAACTAACCACTTTTCTTAGTGGGAAAAAACAGAGCCACATTTGATATGAGTAGATACAGTAGGAATATATATGTATGTGTATATATGTATGTGTGTATATAGGTATATATATATGTGTTATGTGTATATATGTATGTGTAGGATATATATGTATGTGTATATATGTGTGTATATATATATATATATATATATACAGTATGTCATCATAATGCAGTAACGGCAAGTAAATAGTAAAATTGTGCAGCCCAAAAATATGTTGTTTAGAATTTCTCGCACTGCAAACTGGGAAGCGGCAAGAGGTTCTCTTGTGTTTGTGCAGCCAAGTCGAACGAAAAAAT